AAGCCTTTGGGTTTTCATTAATCCATATTAGGTTAAAAGGGAATCAAAAATCTAAAAATACAACACATCAGAGAAACAAGGTATTTTTCAGGTCAAGGTCCTCTTTCTTTTCCATCTGGTGCCATTTGCTAGTTCTAACATCTTCCATCTCCCCCTACATCTCCATCTGTAAATAACTCACTGAAATAAATGCTTGAAATACTTACAGCAAAGAATGATAAAATGCAGGTTGGATTTAATCTCTTTGACTTCTAAAATGAAAAACATAACTACAAACTTTACAGTTATTGAAAAACTGTGGAGGTCTCCAGTCAGCAGGTGTAAGAAATGGGAATAATATAGGGGCATTAGAAGCTTTGGGATTGCAATTTTGCTGTTCAAAAAAATGTCAAAGGGAATATTAGTTCAGGAAAGGGGAAAAAATAACSTATCAGGCCTGATTTTCCAAAGCAGCCTGAAGTTTGGCTTCTGCAAATCATTATAGACTCGTATTTTAAGAGTTAGATGTCAAACRGCTTGCACCCATGTATTAGGAAGTTGGAGGTCTAAGTACAAATAAATGTGTACAAACTTGCARAACTGGAGGGAGGTTTGAGATGCCTCTACAGGTAAACTGTTTTCAAGTGTTTATGGGAACAAAATGTCTTTGTCTTTTGTTTGTTCATGAGCCTCGCCTCAGGAAACAGTGATAAATAAAAGTGCTTTAGAATTTCTGGGACTAACATGAATGAGATAATCTGCTCTTGCCCTTTTTTTGATTTCTGTCGGGAGCACAGAGAAGAGGGATGACCGTAGGCAAACTGCCCTAGCTGTAGTTTGCATTTCAACTGCTTTGGCATCTCCATTTAAGAAGGAGACCAGCTATGCAATTTGGCCTGCTGCTAAGTGCTGGCTGCCTCTTCCTTCGTGATACCCATGGTGTGCCAGCTCCCTGTGCATCTACCTACCTTGGGCAGCTCGCTAGTAATGCCAGCTAAATTAGATACCCAGAATAAGAGGTCTGAAAGTAACCAATAAAAATACCTCTTTTAAATGATTTAAAGCCCTGTGGGCAGGGTAGGAAAAGCAACATCCAATRTATGTTACCAGAGCACATGTTTCTGTCCCTTGTCTTCACTTCCGCTGCATGTGGCAGTGTGAGGTGTTCTCCATTCTCCTTTGCCAAGGAGGCCTCAACGGCCTTTTTCTTTGGCCTATTCCTTGCCGGAATAAGGACCATTTTGAGAAACAAAAGATTAAGCTTTGGGGGGAGAGGAGGAAGAAGTTATAAAGGCCATGCAACTTCTATGAAAGATTTGGTGGGGGTGCCACAATGAGAAAGAGGAGGACATGACTCAGTGAGTGTGACATCCAGCAGCATAGGATCCCTTCTGTTACTCCTCCAGGATGAATGGAAAAGATCTGTCATGAAAGCTCATTTTACAAATAGTTTTCCTTGAGCTCCTTGACAGTAAGAAGTTTCATTGCTTTATTTGCTTCTGGTGTGGGTTTTAGAAAGGATACCTGCTCTATGTCTGAATCCCCATTCATCTCTCTGTCCAGCTTATTAACATACAAGGAACAGGCCCAAAGGACACACAGGTCCAACTCCATATAAAGGGTTCTTATAGTGAGCACAATACAGTAAATTCTTCTTTTAAAGCCCTTTTATATTGACAACGTAAAGTCACTGTAGTGAAATTAAGAATGGTCCCATTTTAAATGTCTCTCTTTTGATAAGAATTACTGCCCATTACAGTGTAATGTTCTGCTTCAAACTAAAGTTTAGGTTCAGGGACAAACATACTCACCAATCTTGGCTCTTAAACACACACAAAAATGTTCAAATGCCCCTTAAGTTGATCACTTAGTTAGGAGACTCTCCATCTTGTCTCCTGCAGTTCCCCTTTGCTGCCTTCCTCCTGCAGCTGTTTTTTCCRAAGTTTTACCATCCTTCAAACGCTACTGCTCCCGCTCTTGCTGCCCATCTGGCTTGCTCAGCTAGACCTGACAGAAATCAATAATCTGTGGAGAGCTGAGTCTAAGCACTAGGCTTTACAGAGGATCTGCAATGAGAAGATTAGCAAACCATGAGAAGATTAGCATGCCATCAAGTGGGTTTTCCACTTAAACTTTAGAGGAGGGAAAGGAGCCAGCAGAGAGGTAGTTATTCCTGGTGAGTTCGATCAATGAAGGGTTGCACAAGGGTTCATGAGCTCAACAAGCAGTTCACTTGTCTTCCTTTCAAGGTGCACAGAGTGACAGTGGTCTCACAGTGCCCTTCAAGAGCCTTTTTTGTCACAGGATTTGCTTAGCTGTCATTCAAACCCCCACATTCCAGTTTGTCACAGATATGCTGATGCCTGGGCAGCAGTGGCGCTCAGAAAGAGCCTGCATGACGTAGAAGTAAAAGTCTGCACGTCTTCGAGGTTACCCCCTGGATGGAGAGACTGTTTTGAGAGTCCCCAACCCGGGAACATATGTGACAGTGGGGGAGTCTTTGAAACATGTGTCAAATGGAGCAGCAACTAACAGCCTAAATTGAAGTCACTCCAGTTGGGCACAAAGGCTACTTTAGGAGGAGCTTGACTGTTTATAAAGGTTTCAGATGACTTCATTTTTTAAAAGTCCATGGAATTCATCCAAAGCAAATAATTTTTTTTTTCTGTCTTGAATGGGAAGACCAAAAGGAAAAGTCTGGAGAAAGGAGGATGGATGGTCTTTCTTTAATGTCAAAGCTGACATAAACACATCTCCTCCAAGCCCTTCGCACAAGATAATTTTCTCAGCAAGACACAGATTGCTTCAATCTCTGTGTAGCAGCCTTTGAAGCTTCTCCCTTATTGCTATTACAGACGAGGGAGGGTTGCCTCTGAGAATTTCTGCAGCAGTGAAATGTTCCTCCTCCAAATGCCTTCACTCGATGAGATAGTTGGTTGCCCTAAGGAGCATGTCTCTTTAGAACTTCTCTGCCATCACACAAGGACAATCTGGCGGTTAGATATGTCACCCTTTTGCAAAGCATTTAAATCCAAAAAACTGAAAAGTCTTAATGAAAAAATCATCTGACCAGTCCTATGAATCTTCAGTTTTCATTAGACAGAGGCCCAGCTAAGGAGATGATGAATAGTGTTGGAGAGGAGCCACCAATTAGGAGACATCAATTTTTCTGTCAACAGGATAACCCCTTTACAAAACTTTTCGTATGTTTATTCCTTTCTGTTTGTGAACGTATTTGTTTGGCAGGGATATTTTGCATGCAGGGAAGAATTCATCACTTTTTAAAGGAGATCGCTTCTGTGCTGTTTTTCAGGTCTAGTTTTGTGGGGTATTTTCTGAGTTCAGAGTTCTTGTTCTTCATCTCCATCTGCTCTCTGTAGCTCTTACATTTACCATAAATTGTGGGAGGCAAAAGCAAAGCAAAAGGCAGGAGTCTCCTTGCTTCTGCAGTGGGTTCTTGGGGAACACTTCTGATGTGAGTGGACTCTTTGGAGGCATCAGGCTTGGATCTGCAAAGGCCTTCAGGTTGCAGGGTTAGGAATACTGTGATATGTGTACAGTTTCTCAAAGGAAAGAAAGTGTTTTTAAGTGCTTCTTTCTTAAAAAATTATGCTTGCTCTGCTTGCATCCTAAGAGTGTTCCTGTACATTTAGTAGTTTAAGATATATCCAAAGACATATGGACTTTTCTTCCAGTTTGCACACTCCATTCCATACAATTCCATACTGAAAACTTGATAGCTTCCACACCTCCTTTAACTAAACAAGAAATTTTACTCCCTTTACTTATGGGAAACTTTATATGTCCTTTATTCGTCTTCGTACAGTGATTCACAGCTGCTGCTGTGTTTCTTAATAACTTATTGCAGGACATTTTATGAAATCAGTAGTAGTACATACTTAGCAGATCCTGGAAGAAGAAACAATGCACAGGCATATATGTAATACGCTGAGAGGAAGAGTATATCTGTGTGTGTTACAATATTTGGCAAGAGACAAAATGAGAGGGACACACATCTCATGCAGTGTCAGGTGGGCACTGGTAGATGTTGACATGACCTCAAAATGTATCGGGTTCTTATGTGGGAGCCGAACTTCAAGAAATAGACCCTATGACGACTGTTTTGTGAGAGGTGGCTGGAAAGTTACAGCTGTGTAATGAGTATCTACGGGGCCGCCTGCGTTGTGGACAGTGGGAGACTTGGCAAGGAACAATTAAGAAGTAGAAGGTCATTACATAAATGATATGTGCCCGGCCCGCTAGTTGTAAATCAAGCGTGCAGCCTCTTAATCATCGGGTATCAGGTCACGCTGCTCCATGCTGAGATAGCAGCTCTGTTGAACGTGCACGTTAATGAGGGCATTTCCTTTTGTGCTGGAGGCAGAGTAATCTACTAGTGGTAGATATGTGTATTATAGGCCTTGTTATGACTCCATTTAAGCCATGGACAGCAAGTGATCTGAAGCACTCGTCACAGTTTTGAAACTAGGCACAGTAGTAGTGGTCTCCATTGCGAATGGATCAGGCTCTGAGCAGGTCCTTAGCAGTAACCATGCTTTTAGGCGAAGGGCGGGGTGGACTGTGGGACTCTAACCTGCAATGTATCGACTTCTTTTTTAAAGAACTTTGTACTGCAAAAGCGTAACATGTTCCACAAGATCTTGCAGTTTGTCCTCTGGGCAGATTTTATGTGTTTTGGAGTGATGTGAGGCTGAGTCTGGCCCACCTGAGTGAACATCTCTTGCTTGAGATAACCTGCTGCTGTTGCTCACAGTAAAGTGCAGGAATAGCTGTTGACATGGGCAACTACTGGCAACTTGATCCTTGCCAATAAACAACTTTGTGTTCAGGATAAAATGTTCCAAAGTCCCTAATTAATTTAGGATCCTTGCCATTTATTTTCAGGCCCTGCAGTGATATGAAGGTTCTTTCAAAGTGTTATTCTCTATCTGATTTTCACAATGTCATCTGTCACAAAGATGCGATAGTGTCTTTTCTTCTCACTTGTTCCTTTTTTCCAGGTTGGCCTTCCTTCTATGATGTGATCAGTCCTGATGCAGTTACTTTCGCTGATGATTTCTCCTACGGGATGCACAGAATTGAAATATCCTGCAGTCAGGTCAGTGTATAGCACATACAGACCATGCAGACCAAAGGCTGCAAAAATCATTACCGTGCGCTGCACTTTCTGTAAGATTTGCAAACTTTTCAGTTCCATTAARTAGTAATCATTGCAAGAGAGCACAATGGATCGTAGGTATGACAGCGGGGTGGAAGGAGCTAAAAGCACAAAGGGCCCATTGGAGTGCACATCGTTGGGAATGGTTGGATTCAGTGGTGAGGCTACAAAGATTGGCTTCCCRAAAGGGGTCCCTTCAAAGGAGCCTCCCAAGGGAGCCTTGCCCCCTTCTGTCGGTACAGCAGGAGCTGAGATGGAAGGGGAGGCGCTGGAGCCACCATGTGTGTGCTGATTCCATCACTGCACATTACTGTGCCCTGGCGCTAACTCGTTCCCAACGCTCATTCCCAGGGCATGCTTAATGGTTCCTTCTGACAATCCCATCTGCCCTGATAATGAAGTCAGTTGCTTTTCAAAACAACCCCACATTTTCCGTTATCTGTCTCGTTCTACTTCCTTTCATCCTTTGTGCTGCCCTCCTCTCTGCAAAGGGAGCAGCGTAATCATTACCTAGCAAAGGGGCAGCTGCTGCGTTGGAGTTGGACAGTCACATCCAGCAGCTGGTCATCCTTGAGCTCTCCAGGCTCAAATTCCTCCCGAAAGGAGCAGCAGCTTCATTTGGGCTGTGAGAATTTGCTCTTCCGTTTCCAGACAGAATTGTTGGGAGGGTAAATGATTTCTTCATTGATGTTACACATTCTCACTAGTCTGTATAAGAGTTCAGAGTGAGTKAAGAAGCTTCCCCAAAAGAGACAGGGTTGTCTTTGTGGAGAATCCATTAACCACTGTGTCTGGGTAGAGGGTTTGACCCTACATATTTATGGTCAACCAGCACGTCTGCTAGTATCTCATGGCTATTAGATAACTGTATTGCCTTTACATTGATGACATTCTTTAGAAGATTCATTTAAGATTTTTTTGAAATACCTATTTCCCTAAATTGCCTAGAAAGGTTGCAATGTGACCACAGGGTGGGCATTTCACACTTTTCCAGCGGTTACTGGAATAATCAAAACTGCAAGGACTTTGCCCAGCTCGGCTTGGTAAGGCTGAGCAGTGCTGAAGTCAGTGCACTGATCGTCTGCTGAACAGGCTGTAGCTGATGACTCTGTTCAGGAGATGGCTGGAGTTCTTGGGTTCACCTCAGTGAAGCCCAGGGAAGCCTGTGGTCRGGCCAAGGAGTCTGGGAATGTCATTTACCTTTGGCCAGAAAAAATACTGCGAGCAGACCTGAGACCAGGAGTATTAATGGCAATCACACACAGGCACCATAAACTTAAGGCAAAACCCAAGTCTGAATTTAGAGCAAAGATAAAAAGAAAATATGACCATAGTCACTAGACAGTCCTTATGCCAACCTCCTGGCAGAATAGCCCCACAGATGATCAAGTCACACAGGAAAATAACTTGAGGAGTGGTGCACATYTTTGCAGCCACTGCTCAGCACAGCTAATACCATCACATTGTGTRTCCATAACAAAAGCATTTCCTCCCCTCCTCCGAGCCCTAGGAATGTGAATCGCACATGCAGCTGCAAACGGAGCAGTTTTACTGCAGCCTGGAAGTGCAATGGGATTGGTATGACTGGGCTTGGTCAAACTGGGGGGAAATAGGCTCTCCCCCACCCAAAACTTCATTCATCTTTTTCAGATGAAATAGCAGTTGCTTTTTCTTCAAATGTCCTTCCACCTGTTTGAGAGAGTTAAAACATTTGCTTTGAAGCTTCTCCTCTATAGAGAGTAAACACTGGTTAAACTTGCTGTAATATAGAATAAAGACATCCATGGGATTATCCTAGGAAAAAAAGACTTTTACGGTTTTTTGGAACTACATCAGCATAGAAATATTTACAAGGTCAATGATTAATGACAGGTAAAAGTTAATTGTAAATGCATTTGAGGAATAGTCTAAAACTGGATGCATCTCTCTTTTCCCTTTCCCGTTCAAGAGAGCTTCCCCTCAAGGCAGCTATTATTTGTACCTGCAAAAATCAGTAAAATTCGGTAGTCTCAAAATGGTGTTTGCACACCGATAGCTTGGGATAAGATCCCGCAGCTGATTGCCAGCTGCTCCCTGTGGCTCACGGCAGCGCGTTAGAACCAGGAGCCTCCGGAGATCCAAGCAAACCGACAGCTCGCAGTCACCCCCCTGCCTTTCCTGCTCCCAAACACGTGTTTCAGATGCTTCACTCTAACCATTCCATAATCCCGGTGCATTCTCTCCTCCTTATAGATGTGTATATATGTATAGAGCAGATTGTTTCTTTTTGGGAGACTTTACAGACATTTATATGTGGCCTAGAGAAGCAGTTGGCACCTCTGGGTGATGTGTGGGGACAACAGCTACATTGCTTCATCCTTTGCGCTCTGCTGAGGGCCAGGGCCCTTACACTCTGATGCAAAGAGTTGAATTACATTTCTTTCAGGGCAGATGACTTGTGGAGTTCTCTACAAAGAGCAGCTCCACATAACTTTTTAGTGAGGAGTAATCTCAAAAGGTAACAAATTTAGCAGTAATCCAACCCTGGCGTGACTCTGCCATCACAAGGAGGTGTAATGGGATTGCTCTGACCAGCTTGGCAGATTTTGTGGGGAAAACCTTTCTGATAGATGGCCTTCGTAGTTGACGTGTTTGTGAGTGTTACCCTCAGAGGCTGTTTCTCTTGATAGTTTTCCTTGTGTTCCATTTCCATCCATTGGAGGGGGAATGATTATGCCTGTGCAGATGTTAATCTGAGAAAGGTCTGTTCAGCACTTCTAGCCAGGAGATTTTGAAGTGCCCTTAGTTGAGATGATTTAATTAGGATGTGGAGCATTTAGAAAAATACTTTTTCTGGGACACTAAGTTTTATTTTGGCTTCTTGGAGATAGTGAAAGTCCCTAATCAGGAGAAATGCCTCACTGTGAGAGACTCCAGTCTTATAAACACCTCAGGTCTCCCCAAGAAGTCCTTGAGTCCCAAGGACAAGGAAATAAAGAAAACAAGAGGTGCCGAGGAAAGGAAAGTGTGAAGGCGGCCGTCGTTCAGAGGCAAGCCTTCAACAGGGGCATCGATATTTCTCATGCAATTTCCCCCTGTCTCTTCCTCGTCACCCAGTATTTTTCCCCTCCTAACAAAGCTGAGCAGCTGCTCCATAGCCCAGCTCCGTTCCCGGGGCCCTGGCCTCTCTCCACAGGCTTTGGGGGCTGCGGGTGCTGCCCCTCCTGCACTTTGCTGCCCTGATTCAGCAAGGAGAGGGTTTCTGTCCCTCCTCGGGGATGCAAGAGCCTCCTGCAAACACTGAGAGACCTGGGCCAGGACTTACCTGCTGCTGCGGACACTCTCCTTAGTGCTTTGGTGAATGAGAGGCCTTAACAGCAGGGTGACATTAACAGCGTATTAACTGTGGCACACAGAGCTGCCCTCAGCAGCCCATTCACAGTTCAGATTAACCAGTCTTGCCTCTGTGCACACTTTGGAAACTATGAATTAATTGAATGTTAAGAGTAAATCACAGTCCTTAATTTTTGCTCTCTGACTGTGAGCTCACTAACAGCCCTGTGATCTCAGTTACATCATTGCCCTTCTCACTGCGATCAGCTGCTGACTTGAAAGGGCAGCACTCCTTAGCAAAGCAGCATGACTTTCCTGCTCAAGATAAATATTTCTCCAGCGCAAAGTTTTATTTTTTTCATTTCTCATGGCAGGCTGTAAGAAGGAACTTGTGGAATTTAAGTGACTAATTATACAAAGCACTTATTACCCCGATAAGTTGTCAGCCGTAATGTGCAGTGATAGTAATCCCAGTTTCTGAATAATAGCCAACTGCCTCAGCTTCTTCCAAACGCTGCAGAGCAGGGAACCTGTTTGTAAACTGCTCCGGGCCAGCAGTCATTCAGAAATAGTTTGCCTTTCTGTACTGTGGGTGTTTTTTGGTCACCTGCCCTTTATACTACAAAAAGACCTGCCCTTTTTACTACAAAAAGTCGTGTGAGATGAGCAGGAGGTGAGATCCATCGCTTCCTGGGGCAAGGCGCAGAGGAGCGCGCAGAAGGAGCCTCATGCCCTTACATTTTGGGAAAACAAGAAGCTATGGGAAGAGGAAGATAGGAGAGCGTACTSCACAGTGCATCCCGACTGCTTTAGGTCCTCGTGGGCATTGCCCGGCGGGTAAAGTTTCTCTCTGAGGGGGGTGGCAGGCGGCCACAGGCTGAGGAATGGCTGGACCTCGGGTCCCCCTTTCCAGCGGGATTAGGCTTGCAGGGGTGTGGGATGTGGGCAGCGCTGCCCTTGCCGCCGCTTTCACCTGAGCTCCCCCCGTGAGACCGTCGCACTCAGGTGGCTTTTCAGAAGTAACCGCCCAGCTGGACGTGTGAAGTAGCACAACACGAACCGCAGGAACCCACGGTGCCGCACGTTTCCTGCATCGCTCTTGTCAGTGCAGCTCCGAATCCCGCGGGGAATAACCGAGCMGGGTGCCCCACGCTGGGCAGACGCACAGTGACACCCTCTTGTTCTGTTGCAGTGCGGCGCCCACCTGGGCCACATTTTCGACGACGGACCTCGTCCCACTGGCAAACGCTACTGCACAAACTCGGCGGCGTTGTCCTTCGCAGCGGCCGACAAGAGCAGCGCGGGAGAGGGCAGCGCCGCCCGCCCTGCCCAGACAGGCAAAGCGGAGCTGTAGCGCACAGCAAGGAAACTGGCCGCATCCCACGCAGCTTACAAGGAATGTTTCCCAAATTGCCTGCTATCCTTTATCCTAAGAATGTTTAAAAGCGTGAAACCATGTTGCACCATCCTTTTAAATCCTCTCTTCCTTGAATTTGAGGCCTTGCTCGCCAGTGCATTTTACTATGTAATTGGATTTTAGAATGTGTTGACTGAATCCACAGGTTTTCCTTTTCTTTTTTTTTTTGGAAATTACTTTGGGGAATCCTTAAATCAAGAGGCTTTGGCACCGTTAGTTATTAGTTTCTTTTAGTGCAGTGTTACCCTAGGTTTGAACAATTTTCCTTCTCGTAGGGAGATGGGAATTGTGGCTCTCATCKCTCTATAGGAAACTTCTGGGCATAAGGAAATGCTGAACTGCCAGCACGTCTCTGCTTTGTCCTGACTTGCGAGGCATGCAGCCCTTGGCCGTATGTGTTCAACCATCCTCCAGGACCAACCACATCCTGCAAAAACTTGTGCTCATGGCTGTTCCTTCCCAATGGAGAAAGGTAGCTGAGATGTGAAGCCCATCCTTTGGCTAATTTACAGCCAAAATTTCAAGGCTGTAGTTGAACAGATGCAAATGTTGTCTCAGCATCTATTTTTCCCCTTTGTTCRTATTTAAATCAAGGTTTTAACTAGTAAGGCTCACTTACGCAGGTCACTAATGAGACTGTCTTTCTTGGGAGACCTGTTCTGCAGCTGTGGCTCAGATCTGAATTAAAGCTGAAATCTGCAGGGGGTCGTTATGTAGACAAGTGCAAAGATAAACTTGAGAACTGAAGAAGATGAGGGATGACACTCGGCTCTTTATCTTGTTGCTCGCTACAAGGGTTCAGGAACACGACAGTTTCAGCTAACAGGGGGCTTAGGAATGCAGCCGGAAGCGGGACACCCTTCTGAAGTATCCAAACTTAAATTTAAGCTGTCTGGACGGGTGATGCTACATGGCCCCAGCCTTTATTTTGAGTAGCTATGATGCAGGTCATGAGTGAGAGAGCTGATTTAACAAGGGAAGAGGAAAAAGAAAAAGGCTGGCAAGGCCCCAGGATTTTTCACATTGTGACCGTAGGCTGCCCCGCAGGTTTTTTTTTCTTTTTTTCAGAAATGCTCTTAGATTTTGTTTAATAAAATCTGTAATGATGCAGTATTAGTTAACACCACTTCGCCTTTAAGTGTTGAGTGACTTATCAGATATAGTATTTACTTCTATTAGCAAACTTAGCGACTGACATATTTAGATACAATTTTGTTTCCTGTAGGAGAGAAACGACGACTGTTTTTAATGGAAACGGGATTGAGGCTTTTATGTCAGTGATAATAAACAAATTACCCGAAGTACAAAAATCCTTTAGTTAAAACGGAGCTACTCCAAAAGTGCACAGAATGGTCAAAGTTGTCTTTTTTAGCAATATGAGGAAGGCCTGAAAAATGCACACAACGCCTTAACATAGACTAGATGCAAATAAAGAGGCTAAATGGAGCTAAAACGTTCGGGCTCTGTGGGATYGAGCACCGCTGCACGTGAGTATTCCCCCAGATGTCCTGCAAGGAATTGCTCATCAGCAACAGGAAAGGTTGTGCAGACTGACCTTTGTGTTTCCAGGCAGTCGGGTTTCTCCGGGTCCCATTGCTTTTCAGCAATTCCTTACAGCACTGCTCTTATTCCCTGCCTTTATTTAAAGAAAAGTGAGTTTTCTCTACCACATTTTTCTGACATCAACATAAAAAAAAGGCAGCATCTATAAAAATGTGGTGCATAAATGTGGTTTAATTCCAGATTGCCGTTGGATTTAAAGTGTTATCGAATTTCAGTGACTTTCTGCCTTATGTTAAAGAAATATATTACTTAAACTTCAGTACGCAGTAATGTATGCTGTCCTGCAGGAGATTTATTTTTGCAGGATATGGAGTGCAATGAAATGAGTCAATATGGTGAGGTGTATGTGATCTCTGGGAGTTAGGCCATTTAACATAGGAAATGCATTGTTCTCTCTTGCACAAAATATAGCACAGCACAGCGCAGGGTAAGACAGATTTCCTTTTGCTGCTCTTAGAAGATGCTAGTAAGGGCTGCTATTAAACACACCAAATATAGTTGGGTCTGGTTGTGGTCACAACAGAGGAAAGCTGGGAGCTGAGCACAATGTAGAGAATATTTCTGTATGTTAAATTTTTGCACTGTCTAGATGCTTATAAAGCTGAATGCAAATGATGTAGAAATAGCAAACTATATTTTATAATCTCTATTGCTACTTTAAATAGCATACCTTAAAGTATCATGTAAAAGTCACAAATTATTTATATATATTATATATATAAAAATTGCACATGTTTTATATATATATATATATATGTACACATGCATATATCTATCCAAGTATAATTTTAGCCTTCAGAGCCTTTTTAATAACTATAAAGCTTTCCTTAAGAGTTCAATACTTTTAAGAAATCAAATATACATTTTTTCAAATTAAATTTGTTTTCATATATTTGTTGTACACAAATATAAAATAAAACTCTTTATAAATAAGCA